TTCATGGATCACAAAGAAGCTTAGAGGTAAAACCCTAAGGCTGCGTTTATAGTTTGCGGTAGCGACACCTGCGACCATCATGAGCGTTTCGAGCTTCCGTCAACGTCAGCGACTAGGAAAGTATAGATAACGATCTTTCGAACGGTGCATCTACCTGGTCCGCCAGTGACCAGGAGTAGAGGGTGTGGGGAAGTAGGAGGGTGACCGACTGCTGGTAGAATATGGGGAAGTAAAAGGGAGGAGACAGCTGGATTAGGCATCGTTGTGGCGCGTGCAACCGCACCGTACTACTCTACAATACCATACTTCAGGTCGATGGTGGACGCTAGCTCGATATCCATACTTTCCTAGTCCCTCAAGACGCTAACGGACACTGTTGAACGCTGGTACACGCAGCCGCTCGCTGCCTCGAAGCCTATAGTTTCGTAGTCGCTGACGATGACGGACATTTAAAACGCTGATGGCCGAAGGTGGACGCTGCTGCAAACTGTAAACGCAGCCTAACGTAAAAGAACCTAGGACGATCATGACAGATAAGGCCCCATTCAACTTTAGAGCACATTCTACAGCCAAGAGTGTATGTGTCCTCCCTCCCCCTCTCCCCTCCAATGCCACACCAATCACGTTACTCAGCTAACAACAAGAGCGCTTCTCTGCACTGGTAGAAGACTAAGTAGCACCTTTCAGAATCACAAGGTACGACTTTCAGAACATTCGCAGGGAAAATGAACAAGAAACTTTGTCACCCGTACGCTGGCCATTGTCAAACAGTCCTTTATTTCCACGATTCCTTGAAGAGCAAGACCGCCTTTGTCAACATTTTGTACATCAGCTGTAAGAACCACAAAATTGATAAGATTCATACGTAATCCCAACAATAACAAGGAAGCCGAATCAGCACTCTACATAACCGCATAGTTTTCATTCCAGGAGAATTAGAAATCAGAAGAATAAAAGCACTCATAATCAAAACAGCAACAAAGGCGATAATAAATTATTCAAAACAAAGCACACGACATGTCACCAGACCAGAACAACGCATATCAACGATGGTGCATAGAAACGATGATTAAAATGACAATCCTCCTCATTAAAAATAACACCGACAACTTGGAAGGCAATCAATATCTTGACAATAATCATCTAACATTATGCGATAGAGGCCTGGGCGAATTTCAAGTGCCAATTCAACTGCTTCGTCTAATCGATCGACATTTTCACAGGTTGCCTAGAATACAACATTTTATAGCTATAAGATTCAGGTGCACTCTAGTTCGCTGCAGATGAAGGGGCGTGTCACGCAGTGGTGGACTGTGGGCCATCGACTCCTTGAGAGCAAGATCGTTTGTCAACGATTTTGTACATCAGCTGTAAGACCACGAAAAAAAGATTACCAAGTGCGCCAAAAGTCGTTCTCTCCGAGTTGTAGAAAGAGTGGACTTGCGCTACTATTGAGAGAAGTAATACGAAACATAATTAGCGCTTCAGCGGGTGAGTATCGGTTTGGCACCTGCGCAAACCCATCATCACCCGTCGACAGAACTCCATCGCCAACAGCGAACTAGACTATAGCTCTGGTGATGGCCGGTAAGGGCAGAGGGAGGATTAAAGGAAGCTAGATCTGAAAGCCTACAGCGTTATGACCAGAAGGGCAAGAAATACCTGACATTACGCGTCTTTTTCCACCACCACGACCGCCAAGAACCGTGCACACCTCGTTCACCCAGAGATTCGCCTTCAAGCCTCCATCGACAAGAGACTGAAAAATCACGAAATTTCAGAACTAGTCAGGGCAGTAAAGAAAAATAAATCCGAACATGGGTGCAGAAGGTATGAAATCTTTCTACGTTTGTCGGGTCACTTTGGCTAGTACAAGGACTTTTCCACTGTCTTCATTGACAGAAAATCCCATAACGGCTTTGGTACTCTTTAGTTGTTTCAAGGCATTGTCTAGCGCCTAAATTTATACCAGTCGTTAAATGTTACTTTACAAACAGTATAAACAATAAACGCAGAACGAAATAGCCCGAAGTATCGCAAGGTGAAATGAATTTCAAAAATCCAGCCTTACTGGTGGCTCCAAGAGGAAAATACAGTGCACAACTATCATCTTGGTTAGCCGTTCTGCTGAGGGCCAATTCTTTAGCTTCAGAAAGAACCTAAAACAGTTCGAATTGATCGCTCAGGAGAAGACGAGACGCAGTTCGGTTTGGGGGGTGGAGTACCCAGCTGAGCTTGTACATGCCATGCTGGGAAGACCTGTGAACTCCTGTGCTCAAAGTGGCTCACTCGAACAATTTCACAACTTCTCAGAAGTTTACAGGTCTGAGCAAAGTACCTGGTAGTTAATATGAACCAACTTAATGAACTACCAAAAGGCAAACTGCCCCTCCAAACTGTACGTCGCCGAAGGCACTTGAAGCGGCGCACTATGTCACACAGTCAATCACTGAGAGAAATACTGTCAAAAAAACAAAAAAAAACAGACCGAAGAAATTTCACATCAATCGTAATTCAAAGTTTTCCTCGGAAAAATGCACAACTACAAAAAAAAAAACAGTACACACCTTCTCAGCAATGGCTGCATCAGCCTGCTTCTTATAACCATCTAAAGTTCTCTGCGCAGCCTTTCCTTGCTCGCGGATCTCATCCTTTTTCTCCAGTAAGGTAGTGAGGGGTCTGCGTTGACCTCCTGAACAGAAAAAAAAATGAGACGCTCTCCTGGCTCTCAAAACCTGGCAAACTCGGGAAAGATAGGTACGATTTTCCTTTTTTTAGAGGGCAGAGAAAAGAATCACAAAATCTGTTTATACCGGGAATAACTGACAAACCGAAAATGCTTCTGACATGGCAAAGCACAAAAACAAACTGAACATTTACATCTGTAGACCCTGGCCTTTGCCGTGTGTGGTGAATGGGACCGCGGCTGCAATGGGGTGCAACTTCCTCCGTTCAGATGTGCAAGGCAGGGCTAGAGGGTTAGTGGAGGTCCGAAAGCGGGTTTTTTTTTCCCCCCCCAAATAGCCACGCGCCCGCGAAACAGCCAACACTCCTAATCATAGCCAGACGCACTACTTACCTGTGCCCTCTCAATTCACCTTCTCTTCTACCGCTGAGTGCGTGGCCTCGCTGCGAGACCTTGGTATCGACTAAACTGCGTCATGAGGAGAGCGGGGCGGAGTCATGAAGACGCATTTGCAGGTACTACGACCCCTGAGCATTCTGTTCGCTGTATACTTTGTGAGTCGAGAAGTTGGACGCTGCCCTAGCAGCTGCAGACCTTATTCGCATGCGAATGGAAGGATACCGCTCTCGAGGTGAAAGTACCAGTTTGTCTTTAACTGATCAAAAATCAACACAAGATGATCAAATTGAATCTACATCTAGTCAATTCTTGTATTGCGCTTTGACGTCGTTTTGAACTTTTCGGAATCCATGGCTAAATTCGTATTTGCTTTTATTTCATCTGATAGGGCCTGAAAAGCAAACAAAGGATTTACCGCAACTTTTTACAAACAAGCTGAACAAATGCTATGCTGTTGCAGTGAAATTCAAGGAATTACATATTAAAGTTCTGAGTAAAACTTTCAACAACCAGTGAGTCAAGAAAAGGAGAGGCACAAAATATGTAGAAGAAAGAAATTTCATTGTGAGAACCAAAGAAATGCGGCCTTTTCCTATCACTCCAAACCCCTGAAAAAAAAGGTCCCCCCCCCCCGTTTGGCCGCCTGCTAATCTTTCTGCACGATGTAATGCTCTTTCGGCTTCTGGTCCTGACAGTGCTACTATTCGTCGAATTCCTTTAGCAATAGCCTCTTCGGATGAAATCACCATATGCCCAATATGTCCAACGTTGTGAAGATGCCTGTGAAGCCAGAGTTTAGCCCATTTAGCCACTTTTATCCTCTACAAAACCCTCACGTATCCACAAGAACTCTATCAGTGTCTTAATCCAGCAGTACCCGTTTTTGATCAGACAGAAGCTTTCTGACGTGGTACCGCCCAACGCACACCACTCTAAACAGGAATCATGGTAATCTGAGAATAAACTTTATGAATTTCCGGAATTCATGTTCAAGAAGGGCTAGAAGCAGCATTACGTTCATCAGACATGGCCCTCAGCTCCAGGTGATTTCAACCGAAGCCTGAGGCAACGGTGCTTCTTTTGCATAGACGGGTTCACGGGTGTCTATGATCGACTGGACTATCTCCTCGGCTTCTTTCACCTGTGTTACAAATATGAGGAATCAAGTCATTCGTCAATATAAGAAGATCAACAACATCTTAGCCTGCGTTCATAACTTTGCGTTAGCGAGCGCCGGCGTCCAGCAGAGGAGAGCATGCGGAAGCGGGACAGTAGGGGACTGCTGGATTCGGCCTCGTGAAAGTGCGGCATCTGCAATTACACCGCACAACTGGTAAAGCATAGAATTGTGCAATCTTGATGTACGCTGTAGTGCAGTTGTACGGCGCGTTGGCACCATTGCGCCAATTCCATGATGGCGCTAACGCGCAGGACGCAGTGCTGCTGCCTAAGGCTGCGTTTATACTTTGCGGCAGCGTAGCGTAGCGCTTCCAGCGTACGCCAGCGGCAGTGCCGGGGAGAGGATGCATATCGATCTAGCGTTCCCAGCGTCACCAGCGTTTTGCTGGCGTTTGCAGCGGCAGGGGAGTAGAGACTATGCCGTAAGAGACGCGCAATCGAAGTGTATTGTAGAGACTATGTGGCCGTCAGAGACGCGCAATTGATGTGTTTGTAGAGACTATGTGGCCGTCAGAGACACGCAATCGATCTGTTTTTGTAGCCCAGCTATCTCCCATAGTCTCGCTCTCACCCTGCCGGACTGCAGAACAGCTAGGCAAAACGCGGTGAAACGCTGGAGAAACGCTGCGTAACGCTGGGAACGCTAGATCGATATGCATCCTCTCCCTCGGCACTGCCGCTGGCGTACGCTGGAAGCGCTACGCTACGCTGCCGCAAAGTATAAACGCAGCCTATACTTCCCAACTCTCCACTTCTGGACGCTGGCGTACACCAGATCGATACTTACAGGACCTCCCGCCCAGTCGCTAGACGCTGGCGCAAGGATGCAAGCACCATTACCTGCTTGATAGTCATCGCCTGCTTGTTCGTGAAATCAAATCGAAGTCGATCCGGAGCAACTAAAGATCCTTTCTGATCGGAATCGGTCAACACACAACGAAGAGCGTGATTCAGAACATGGGTGGCGGTATGATTTTTCATAATGAGTGCACGACGTTCCTGAAACAATAAGTTAGCAAACAATGCCTACTTTTCACAATTTTTTCAACTTACTCCATCAAAGACTTGTTCGACTGTGTCTCCTACTTTCAGCACTCCGTTAGTTGAACCCACTAGGACCACATATCCTCCACGAACTTGGCAATTTGTAACGACGAATTCTGTTCCCTGTAATTAGTGTAGAGTGCAACTTTGCTAAAAATGAGGAACGTGAGAGTAGGACTACATGATGTTTTGCGTCAGCATTCTAAGCGTACACCAGCGTTCTCAGCGACTGCCCGCGAAATGCTCAAATGCTATCGAACGCTCGAACGCTAAACCAATACCTCTCTTTTACCAGCCGCTCAAAACGCTGACGAAAAGTGTGTGTGCAGCTCAATGCCGAAGGAGACTTCAAAACAGACAAGGAAATAATTTGCGAGAAATACCTCATCGTCTGTGGAGATCAACACTCCAGTGTCATAGATCTGTCCACCTTGTTCTGCATAGAAATTCGTCTTGTCAAGCAACAGAGCACCCTCAACACCAGCTTCTATGGAATCGACAAATTTACCATCACAACGGATGGCAAGAATCTTGCCGGTACAAGTCTCGAATGCTGAAAACCTTGATGTACCCGCAAGTTATCAGGAATGAAAGCCAAAAAACTCACTGTATTTAACAGTTCCGTCATTAGGTCCCTCAGCCTTGTACCTGTATTTGAACGAATCGTCCGTGGTAGGGATACCTCGCTTTTGGAGTTCAGCAAGTGCATGGACATCAAGATCGAGTGTGTCACGGAACTTTCCTGTTCCAGCAGCTGATAGTTCCTGAGGAAAAAGGATTCAGAAAGTGAAAAAACAGAAAAATTCAATCTCGGAACTACCATTTTGGAATTACCGCTACTGACGCGGTTATTTTCGTACTACCCAATTTCTTTCCAGTATACATCAGTAATTAGGAGAAGACAACCATTACAAGTCATTTCAGCGTTCCAACACTCAAGCGCAGGCACGATCGCTGGGAGCGGGCGGCTGTCGCTAGCGTCATTGGTGGAAGGGCTGGGTGGGTGGAGCCAAATGCCCTATCGCACCTCGTCCACCAATGACGCTGGCAACAACCGCCCGCCCCAAGCAGGTGCACCCACTGCCTTCATATGAGCTCCATACTTCTTACTCAACTTAGGATGATACCCCCACAACTAACCACAGCTTTCTTTCTGCACTCTTCGAAAGCCTTTTGATCGACAGTCAGCCCTTTCTCCTCAGCCATAAGTTGTGTCAAGTCGGCAGGGAATCCATAGGTGTCGTATAAACGCCAGGCTACATCACCTGAAACGATGTTCATCACTGACAGTGTGGAATATCAGGTGAGGATCAAAAAATATGCAGTTCTCATAAATGTAGTTTACGAGGAAAAGTAGTAAAAATACTAGCAAAATGTGACTGACCAGGGAATGTCTTTTCATCAGTTCCCTAGTCCTGCAACTGCACGCTGGAACAGTCTGCGACCACGGACCAACGTTTTCAGGAACTGCTTCTCTTCATCGTTGATAATGTCTCGAACTGTTTCAGGATCACGGCGAAGTTCTGGGAATGTGTCACCCTGAACGGGTTAGTCTTGAGTTGTTGCCAGCAAATCTTGGACGGAGAAGTCAAGGAACTCTCACAAATTACTTACTAGAATCTCTATAACAACAGGGACCAGAGAGGCGAAAAACTCCGGCTGAGCATTCAACTTCTCCGTTGCATAACGAACACCTCGTCGAAGGACACGGCGCAGAACGTAACTAAATTGAAAGGTAAGAGCAAAGCCTCTGCGATAACTATCAGCTCGAAACATACCCTCTTCCAGTATTGTCAGGACGACCGCCATCCGACAGTGCTATTGTCAGAGTTCTAATGTGATCAGCCACAACACGATAGGCCATATCAACTCCATCAACATCATCTGCTCCCACTTTACCAGTATAAGGTCGCGTTCCGGTTCCCTGAATTCAATTATTGATAAGGCAGTGTTCATACTTTGCGATGACGCGCGTCGACACGCTGCAACGCGCTGTACCTGCGTATACGCACTTCAATGCTATAGAAGGGAACGCGAGCGCAGACGGAAGTAGATAATGGCGACCGCTTGTGTTTCCAACGAGTTAACAGGATAACGGTAGAGTGGGCGCTGCCTAATCTTAGAGCCTGGTATCGATCGGCGCCAGCCGCTAGTTTCTCAACAGAGCAAATAAGGATAAGAGAGTTAACGATGTGGAGGCAGCGGATACGCGCCCGTTATTCCATTCTTTCTTAAAACAGAACCGCGCGGCGACGACCGATACCTGTCCGCGGCCGCGTTCTCGTTTAAAGCATTAAAGCGCCACTGCAGTGGTAGCACGTATCGCCAAGTATAAACGCTGTCTACGCAACTAAATTTGGTTAACTTACTCCATAAAAAGCCATAAAATGTTCTTATGTGACTAGATATCCAAATCATTTGGAAGTTTAGACCCACATTTAGGCCCCAGAAAAAAAATAGAATAACAGTACGCACCTCCTGGATAGCTTTGAAAATGGGCTGGAACATATCGGTGTCATAATTGGATGTCTTCTGCTGAAGCACAGCAATCAAACGTTCTAAACCAAGACCGCAA